TAAATCGATTTTTCGGAATACTTTCTGGATTAGCGACACCTTTCAAGATTTTTTGGCACTTTCCTGGACCTTTTCGTGTCCCTTGGGATTTTGTGGAATTGTTTTTGAATTTCTCAGGCCTTTCAGTGATGTTGTGGAACTTTTGGGAATTTCAGACATTGATTTAGGTCTTACTGTGATTTTTCCAGACATTTTTGGTGTTCTGTGCAACTTTCTTTACACTAGCCGTCCTTAAAAGCAACTCTGCAAAACTCAGTATTAAATTTGCGAGAATGGAGAGGTGTAAAAAAAATTGTCGTTGTTAATGTTGTTGTTGTAACAGCGTAGAAATTTCTCAACGAGTATTGGGGAACACAGAGTAGAAAGCGCCTCTTTAACTCATTTGTGGGGCGTAAATTCAACGCCAGAATCCCAATTTCTGCTCACCGTCAAAAAAAAAATGAAAAAGAAAACTGAAATTATGTTTTACATTATTTCTATCGACAACTTTTATGGAACTGCTCTGCTGTATTTACATACATCAGATAACATCGGCTAACTGCTTTTGCATGTTTTACCGACATAATCTGGAAAATTAATTTTTAGTTACAGTTACGCTGCAGCAGTGGCGCTGGATATGGTTACAAATAAAAAATGATAGCTCAAACATACTAACTACATATACATATGTAGAAGAAGCGAAACATAAAAAAAAAACATTTGATTCGACAACAACAGGTTCGACACGTTCTTGAGAGTGTGCTACACATCCATTGACAAACAGTCGACTATTTGCAAAATCCATCCAAATGCAAACGTTTATGATGGAACTCAATGCTCACGAGCAAAAAGTACAAACACAAAAACAAAAAAAAAAATTACAACTACAGCAAAATAACTGACTAATATTAGTTGACTATTCTTCAGCAATTTGGAAGATTATAAATTTAATTATTGCACATTTATTGTTAAAACAAATTGCTACTTTAACGATTATTATTAAGTTAATAATATTAACATATATTTTTAGATCGCAAATTTGCTGCACCACGTTCTCAGACAGTAGTCAATTAGTTTGTCAATGATTTAGACAGTCAGTCAGTCATTTAGCCGGGAAGCTGTTTGTATCTACATAGGTTGTTATCTGTCTAATCGGTTCATATGTATGAGCGAGTGAGGAACAATGAGCATCTAGGAAGCCTTGAGTGTTAATTTTGTTGCTAGTACAATACATCTGACTTTTTGATTATTTATGCATGAAATCATGTGCACATCCATTCACACAATTTTTAATGTTTTTTTTTTTTATTTAAATTCTAATTTTTTTCCATTCAATGCACTTTTTCCAATTCACTCATTCATTAGCGACATTTTCACAACAATATGTTTCGAGTTTGCTGTGCGTCTCCTTGTTGCTTCGCCTATTCGCTAAATGAAGTGCGCTTTGCTTTGCTCAGTAATTGCTCGACTCTTCCTTTTGTACATATGTACATATGTATCTATTTCGGGTAAGCTTTTATCGACATAATACTTTTATAGAATGTTTTGAAAGTTCTTTAGTTATGAGTAAATGGTATCAGCTAAGCAAATGGGTCGCTGCCCAGACGGTACCCAACAACTAAAAATATTTTCCAACCGTAAGTGTTGCAGCTGAGTTGATTGAAGACATTTTTTTTCATTGCCTCCAAGAGCCTTTAATTGACTAGAAACAACTTCCAAATTTGTTTGAACGGATTTCTGGTATTTATAAAACCGACTGCCTTTCAAAATCATCTATAAACTCCGGCTAAGCTATGCAGTGTCCGTTAGTGTAGACGATTTGATGCTGATATTAGAAGTAGCACGGTTTTTGTGAACTCCATAAGAGAGGGAGGGAGGGAGGGAGTTTTTTTATTCACTAGGAAATTCAAGATTTCCGCTTAGTGTAAAAACGTCAGTGTAAAAACGGCCCTTAAAGTACCTAGATAAAAAATGGGAGGGTCATAGAATTTCACCGCTTCGAAGAGATATTTTCTTTAATAATCACTGATATGTTGGTTTTCAAGTGTTTTCTACTTGGCTACAGTGACTTTTTGAATAGAAGTTTTTATTTTGGCAAAAAAAAAAACGTTTTGATTTTTGAACATACATATAACATATTTGTCTTGGTGGAAGAATAGCATTGTTTTTATCCCTCGCCAAATGCGGTCGTGTTTGCTTCACATCAACGTATAATCTGCCCACCAATTCAGAATAATATTTGCCATTGGCTGGACTATGCGGAGTGGGAACCAACGTAACCTAACCAAATCTACATACCAGGTCCACCGTTCACCCGCAGAAATCCACTGCCTTGACTATTTCCTAGTGTGTCTGATGGATCGTGATGGATCCACGGGGACCCTTAGCGATTACGAAGGGGCGCAAACATTTGTCCGGTTTGAGGTAGAACAGCGCTAAACACTCCCTTGAAGTGGTCAGAGCATTACGCCAAGCGCTCACTGCATTCGATAGGCCAATCTTTCTTGGTTTCAGTGATGATTTTTAAAGACACATTTTTATTTTGTAAGAAAACTTTTTATTGCTTTGCAAAGGCAAACATTCTACTGATAACATACACCAACAACACAATACCTAATAAGAATAATAATAAACAATACACAAATACAAACAGAAAACAACAATTAGCGCAGCAACTTTAAATGACAGCAAGTAATAATAGAAACAATAACCAAAAAGTACTTATTAACATATGTAGTACGAGTAGACAAAGTATGCAATGCATTTTGCATCAGTTAGGTGAGCGGGCAATTATGTAGGTTTGCCAGGCGGGCGCCGACGGGTGTTTCGTGCAGCCTGTAGGCTACTGATACGAGCACGCAAATGAACAAACGATCGACAAGCGTCAATGTACATATGTATATATGTACATATATACATTAGATCGTATCACCCTACAAGCAAACAAAAAAACCCAGGATTTGCAAGGAAAAAAATTTAGGTTTTTTGGTCGTACCGGTGACACCTACATACATTCGGCAAACATTTTTTGTATACAAATTTATACTGGAATAATCGATCTACTTGTTGTTGGAAACATTTGAATGATTTTGATGGGATTTAATTTGCTGACATTAGTGTGGAACGTTAGGGCGATAAGAACTAAGATCTGCTGGGTAATTACCAAAACGGAGTTTTTGAGGTCAATGCAATGTGGAACACAAATAATTGTATTCTTGAGACAAGAATATTGGTATATCTTACTTTAAGATCCAACTGCAAATGCCAAAGATATGATGACAATTATGAAAAGCCAACCCTGTGTTGGCAAAATAATTTTCAATTTTTTTTTTTCGAAATTTCCTTGCAAAAATACTTTAGCATCAGGTGTGTACGTCGAGCTTTTTGTGTTGGTACATTCTAATGTACATACAAATTCATGTATGAATGAGCAGTAGATTTCATCAAAGAACAAAACATCAAAAGCTTCGCAGACGTCAGCAGCTGTTGTTATATGGACAGACATCCGTAAATATATACAACTGGGCCAAAGGCAATATTATGTGCGTTTTTGTACTGGTTGTTGATTTTGTTGCATTTGTTTCACTTGTTGTAATATGTTTACATTATTTTTGTGTGCTTCTTTTCATGCACAGAATCGACTATCGTTTTTTTTTTTTTTAATGATACACAATGCACTTTTCTATTTTGTTTTCTACTTTTACAATATTTTGCGTTAAAACTTTCAACAAGGTGTGCATATCTTAACAACCAGACTGATAACCGCAATGCAATGACTTCGAAAAAAAAAAGGAAAAATGCATAGCTGTGCGTGCAGACAGTAGCTGGTGTAAAGATATCAGCTTAATAATAGATATTTAAATACAATGATGTAGACGAAAATTATAGAAAAAATGAATAGCACACTACACTTACGAGATAAAGTAATTTACTATGAAAACAATGTATTAAATAAAAAAGTACATATCAAAAGAAAAAACCGCTACACGCTATAGTGATGCATATATGATTTCACCACATCAAGCTCTAACCACCAACAACAATAATAATAATAATAATAATAATAATAATAATAATATTTTGGCGCTTGCACACTTACTAAATGTTTGCTGCTAGAAAAACACTTTTGCTACCCAGGCTCTACGGTGTTGTATTACGCACCTGCAATGACTCAGCCACAGCGGCCACCAGTATAGATCTGAAACAGTGTTAAGCCTTATCGCAAGGGTTGGTTCTTATTGGGCAGTGACCGATCAAGGCACCTGTTAACATAACGCGAAGCCGCTGAGCTACATATGTAACTCAGATGCTCCTTTGACCGCTGAAGATCCTTTATAGACCAGAAGGATCTTGAAACTTTTCTTGCCAAAGGTTTCCAACAGCGCTCGCTTGGCTAACTGAAGGTTATAAAGAGCCGCATTTTCCCAAGAGCAGTCAAGGTAACTCTACACCATCACTGTCAGGTAAACGAGCCTCGAGTGCCTTGAAGAGTAAGTAATTTTTAAAAGGCTGGCGATTGTCTGTAGGCGATGTTCTTTAAAGTGCAATGGGGTAAGTGTAATCGTTCTTTAGGATATGCACCTACTCAATACTGACTTTAACGTCCCCGTTCGCATGTTCTGGGTAGCTTTTCAAAACTTCTATAGATCCGGAGAAGGAAACAGAAAGTTCTACAAACTTACGCTAAACAGTTTTATTTTTTGTTTTTAATTTAACTTTTTCGACTTTTTGAAAACAAAAAAAAATGTTTTTTTTTGGCGTAATCTTGCAGAACTTTCATTTTTCTTCTCAGGAACTCTAGAGCTATTGAAAAGCTACTAAGAACAGCTTTTTTTTTGCCTTTTTGCGCCATACCGTATGCCAACTTCACAGACATATCAGCAACTATGTAGAGGCGTCATCAATTGTTCACTACTTAATCGAATTGTGTCACTCAGCCAGTGAGATAGTGAATCAATGCAGTAGAGTGTTTTGATGAGAAGCCGTGTTAGTCAGTCGATCTGTCGACACTCATGATGTAGGTATGTACATATTTAAGTATGTATGTATGTATGTGTGTATGTAGATACTCGTCCATATTTGCCATCTACTTAATGCCTTATATCGCTTGGTTTTGACTGTGGAGTAATGAAGAATTCGAGCTCAACACTCGGCGGTTTGTTGACTTAAAAATGACGCTTAAAAAACACAAAAAATTAAAAAAAAAAAACAATGTTATATTGCTTCATTGAAAAAAAAATATATAAAATTGTAATGCAGCTCCTAAAACATTGCTTGCTTACATATGTGTATTTAAAATATTTTTAAGCAACAACAACAACAGCAGTGCATCAATGAAACAACTGTTGCTTGCACATGCAATGGAAAAAGTGAAGTGAGAGAAAAAAAAACATGAAATAATTGCAACAATGTACAACGCAAGAAAACATACATATATATGTACATATAGTACAAAAAAATACATATGTAGTTGTTTACACACATTTGTAGATGAAATCGTACATTGCTGTTAATCTTGCTGTTTATTTATCTGTTTTCTTACTACATTTTTATTTCGTATTAATTTCTCACTCCAAACTTATTTTGTTGCTTCTTTTGAAATTTTTTCACCTACGTCTTAGTTTGGCGCTCTGTTAATCGCACAACAAAGGCAATGTAAAGCAACTTTTTATAAGCTTGCATATTTACTAAATACTATGTACCTATGTATATGTATGTATATGTATGCACATATGTATGTATGTATGTCTAATTTTGTTTTGTTTTCTTTGATATCAATTTCTTTATGCACTTGCATTTATTGTCGGTCTCAACCTGTTCGCTATCGCTCGCTGAACATTTCGTAAAGTTTTCACGGTGCTTCTTAATCTCTCTCATCGATGAGCTTTCATGTAATTTTTTCTTTCTTCTACTTATCGCTTAGTAAATTTTATTGCTTTTCAGTTTCGAAACAATTTATAAGCTGTTAAATGGACATACATATGTACGCACCATGTAAGTGCATAGGCTACAAAGAGCAGTGCATTCTTGAGTGTCTCAGAAAGAAAAAAAAGCGCAATTAAATCGTTACTTCAAATGTGTGAAATGGTATTAAATTGCAACACTTCTTTATAATGCCTCGACGATAAAGTAAATGAAGGACTTTTGAATAAAATAGCCCTATGGAAAGTGAAAGTAAAACCAAGCGAAAGCAAGCAAGCGAAAGTTCTAGAAAAGTTATATGACAATGGCTGATAGGTTGACATTTCCTAAAACAATAAGCGGTTGCTCGTCTTTTCAGAGATTATAAGGGCCAATTTCACAGGGCATAGCTAACTCAGAATCGGCAGTTAACTAAAGTTAGCTAAAGATTTTCAGTTAACTGCCAATGTGACTGTGAATTTGGCCGTACATAAAACAAATTTTTGAATTTTGAAGTCAAAAAGGCAATGCAAATGTGGTTGCACCGCGTTTTCCAATAGTTATACAATGTTGAACATAGTTTTATCATAGACAAAAATTTTGTAACATATTGAACGTTTCGAGAATTTATATTGACATACTTTTGGAACTTCGTTGAAATTTTCGTGTTTTTGGATTTTTCAGGATTTTTCGAAGCTTTTTTCTCAAACCGTTATATACTCTCAAAACCTTATGAAATTTTCTCATGAATAGAAATGCTCTCTAATTTTTTCGATAATTCAGTATTTTTTTCAGGACTTAATCGTGAACTACTTTTCGGGGTGCTTCGGTTTTTAGTAATTCCTTTTTGGAGTTTGATTTTTCTTCGATACTTACTCGTTACCTCTTCGTGACTCTTGACGAACTTTTTGGTTTTTTTTTCGAACTTTGAAACCATATTGGACCTTCGGAGGGTCCTTTCATTCTTTTCACATTTCGAAAGTTTTTCGGAACTTTCCTCTGACTTTCATTTTGGGACTTTATTTGGCACTCCTTGGGGAATTTTCGAACTTTAAAATTAGCTTAAAATCTTTCGGAGTTTTCTTAAATTTTTGAAATTTCTTCGAGAATTTGTTGTGACTTTAATTTTGGGCCTCTGCCGGTTTTTTTTTTTATTTCCTCGGACCTGTCTAAATTTTTCGGTATTTTGGGAATTTGAAATTCCTTTAAAATCTTTCGGAGTTTTTCCTCTAGAATTATAGGTCAGCCAAAAGCCCCCAAAAATCCAAAAAAGTGCAATGGGAGCCCCAATAAAAATCATTAGTATTAAAAATGGTTAAATAAACAATTGGATATTATTATTGCAAGTCTCCGGAAGAGAACCAAAGCTATTCGATCGATAAAATATTGATTTTCAAGAATTATATACCATTTCTACGAAAAGTTGTTCTTTCCCATGCATTAAACTTCCCACTTAACTCTTTTCGGACCACCCTAATGTACATGTATAATTACACCTGAGCTCTCTAACATCGGATATTCTACCCGGGTTAACCTGTATCTCAAGTATAATAATGTGATCTTAGAAAGCGAGCATTAAGAGCAGTTAGAGCTTAGCACCATGGCACAGGATGTGCTCTGTTCAAAGGCTGGTAAATAGGAGCATTCTCGGTTGTAAGTTTGTAGGTAACTTTGTTTTTTGAGTAAATTTTTTTTTTAATTGTTTTATAACAGTTTATTCATAAACCCATTCAATACACTACATATTGTGAAATTCAAATCAAAAGAACCGTAATAAATTAAAAGTAATCTTCTTGCGGAAATAACGCAAAAATTCTAGGAATCGCGCACACCACACTCTTATCAACACTACAAATGTTGTTGCAAAAATATTAAAAAGAAAACGCAAATACGCTTCTGATAAAAACATCGAAAAAGAAACAAGCAACAGAAGTGAAAAGAGTAGATAAAAAACTGCATCGGAGATAGATTTGTTGGGTGCGATAGGCCTTCGGAGAAAAAATATATACCTATATATAAAGATACGAATAAAAAGCTACAAACAGATAGCAAATAGCCTTCAAATTGGCAAAACAAAAGCAAAAGATTATCAGAACTGAAATGAAAGTAAAAAGTCATACATACATACATATGTATGTAAGTGTACTGTCTTCGCAAATGTGTATATGCATATGTATTGATACTGATAAGGCACCACAATAACGTGATAAGGCATACATATCCACACTTGTGGTTTTGCTTTCAATTCATTTACACGTCAACTATTCAAAGCAGTGGAAACACATCTGGCTACAAACTATAATGTATGTATGTATTACAATCGATTGCCGCGAGAAGAACTTTTAGTAATTTTCTAATTACATTTTGATGTACTCGTCGCTTCGTTTGGGTTGCAAATTAACGAACTTATCTACTACAAAACGTGATTTTCTAGTAAGAAAATACATAAGTTCATACCTACATATATCTACATATTAAAAGAAAAAAACTCAAATGACATTGAATACATCACGCTATGTTACTTAAATACTGTTAGTAGTGTTGTTCCGATACCGCCATGTACTCGATGCCTGTATTCTTTAAAAATATCGAAGAAAAGTATCGATGCTACCAATACATATATCGTAGAGAAGTACTCGATACTTACTCGAATCGAACTTTTTATAACATACTGTAAAACAAATATAAAACCAAGGCTATGAACTTGGTATTTGTAAAATTTTTGGAACTTACCAAAAGAGTGGTCGCAAGCTTGTTCGAATCTTTCTTGCAAAATCCGAAAGTTTGACTATTCTCATTTCCAATCGTCGATTTCACAAGTGAATATTCCCTTTTGCAAATGACTATTCTCATTTACAAATGATCATCTCTATTTTAATTTTGATTATTATTCTTATACTTGCGGGAAGGATTCGAGTACAAAAAGTACTCAGCACTTGAAGAAAGTATCGAGTATTTACTCGTAGTTACTCGCATCGTAACAACATTAACTGTTAGAGAAAGAGCGAATTTGTTTGAGAACTTTTTAGCAGCACGTCTTCTTTTCTCTACGATATATGAGACTGTATTAATCTCTCGAATTATATGTATATGCATATGGCGAATTAATTAATTAATATCCTTACTTGTGTTTTTTTTTTTACAAAACCGTCAATCAATCTTGAATTCAATTACATAACAATTCCGAACACGATTATTGGTTGCGAGTTTATTTATACAAAATTACGCGATAATCTAATCATGAAAATGAAAATAAAGCGGTTTCGAATAAGAGATATATCTTATAGTTTTTTGATAAAGGGTATCAGTTTAAAACAAAAAAAAAAGTCTTGCTCAATTTTTCACTGTGAAAATTCGTTTCGAAACTTTTCGTGATTTTGCCGTGGAGCTTCGAGACTTTTCGGCTTCTCTCAGGACCTTTCAGATTTTGTTTTGTGATCTTTCGGTATTCCTCGGAATCTTTCGAGCTTCTCCGTTTATTGGAAAAAGGAGGAAGTTATCAATTCGTCGGAATATTTTTTTGTATGTATGTAACTGCATAACTTTGGACTGCGTCAACCGATGAGATCTTTCGACCGTGTCTCATTACATTTCGGCTCTTGGTTGTTTAAGAGATAAATATGTATATAGATCCCTTAGAATGAGCTTGCTTGTAGTAAGCGGCATGCCTAAATACGCCCAGAGCTGCCTTCCCTTGCCTGGTAAGATCCGGTGCCACGGCACCCATATCATGTGATGAGCAGAGTAGTTCGGTTTTGTAACTCATCTCGATTAATTTTGTCGATTGAAGTAGTAGATTTGATGTGTAATTTAGCCGCTATCTCGATTGAGAATTTAGTCGATTTCTTACAGAAACGCACTACAGATTGCTTAGCCATCTCGTTTATAGATCTGCGGCAGTCCACTACGGTTTATGAATTGCAGGTGACCGAGTCAACCGCTGTCAATACCGCATGACTATCTGAGTAGATGAAGATGTAGGTACTTATGACTTCTCTTTTACGTAAGTATTCGACCGCCTCCTGCATCACAGCAACTTCAGCTTGAAAGACGCTGTAGTCCAGTCCCAGCTGACCTGAGAAGACCCACGTAGGAGGGGGTCAAGTTGTGAATCATCTGATCAAAATTATCTATCTCGAATAGGAATTCTATACTTCTTTGTGAAGTTTAGACTTTGTACAAAATTGCTACGTTCGATCGCTCACTTACAGTTTTAAAGGGCTACGCCTAGATATTTTCAGGATGTCGATAGCTTCAGCGTCGGGTTGCTTTGGGCTGGGAGCTGCAGTGAGGGGATTTAGTACTTCCTGGCAAAAAGTGCCAGGTCAGTTTTATCTG